GGGTTTAATTCAAAATTTCCGACGACCATCCCCATACCTTTCATATGCGGAGTCCCCCCGGGATATTTAGGCGTTGCAAGGGATAGGAGGACATGGATTAAAACTTGAAAAAACTGGGCCAACTTTTTCAAGTTTCAATGCTATGCCCGCAGAAATCACAAAAACTATCATGGTTGGTGCTCCTGATGAAATTTGCTTGATAACTTCTACATAACTCTACAGGAGCTTTTTGTGTATGGGTAAAGCTAGCAAGTAGTGGCTTCAGCACAGAATTGACCAAAAACTGCAATATCACCATGACAAAGCCCCTTTAAAAGCCTCCCTAGCACCACTTTTTCCCACAAAAAGTTTGCAAAAGAATTGTTTTCAACTTCTCCCGGGTATGCGATGCTGATGAGCCCCAATAAGGGCGAAACAGCTGTCCATGGCTGCCACTGCCGTTGTGAACCACTGCCGGGGTGATATGGTTGTGCGCGTGCGTAAGTTACCGGCCACACCGAGGGAGTTGGTACGTGTGCTTCAGTACTTAATTTGGTATTAGTACGGTCATCCCTAGAGAAATTGGAAACAATTCTTATGGAAAATTGTGGGGAGCGGGGGAGGGATAAACAAGGTGTGTAACGGGAGAAAGTGAGAATGGCTAATCCCAACCCTATTTTCCCACCCTACCCTACCCCATGCCCGTTAAAAATGATTGCTTTGGGTTTTTTAGGTATACATTACCTTGAATTTGTCATCTTTCTAAGTATGTATTCTTGAACGAGACTGAATTTAACCGAGGCCTCTGTTACCCGTCTGATGGACCAGGGTAACGCGGCCTCTGGGAAGGAGATTGAATTAAACAACTGAAATAGGCTTGTATAGCCCAGCGGTTAAGCAACAGACGCAGTTTTACATGATGCGTAATAATTTTGGTCTACGTTGTTCGATAAGCTAAAGGGAGAGGGGAAATACACAGCTGAAATACAGTAAATCCTCTATTAAGCCCCCCTTCTCTAATAAGCTCCCTCGACTCCCTCCTTTTCATGGAAAGAAAATAATGAAGCCCTATTCTCTTTTGAACCCTCCCCCCTTTGTTGTTAAATGATAGACGGTATGATATATTCCAGTGCAGGAAGGTCGGATTTGTTTTGGATATTCGGCTGCATTACCTCCACCTGCATGTGCCTGAGCTTTCCCTCTTTGCGTTCTACGTTCAGTTGTGGAGAATTGATACCATAATAATCGCTAAATTAGATAAACTCCCTCTCTATTAAGCCCTCATCCTCCCTCGAACGTGCTTGAAATGAATAACCACCCCTCCCCCCTCACCATGGGGCTTCATAGAGGATTTACAGTACACCCATGGAATGCACCAGGCAACCTCCAGTTAGTGATACTTAAGAATATTTTTCAGCCCGTTTAGAGTGTACAGAATACTTTCCAGTGTATCTGGAAGTCCTCGTCTTTCTATAGCTCTTATTTTTGAGTCTTTAAATTTCTCATGGTCTTTTGAACTTTCCTTTGGATCAATATATGACTGCTTCGACACATCTTTTTTACCGGGGCTGTTATTTGTACTTTGTAGCCCTCCATTTTCTATTTTCTTCTCCCTCAGTCGGTAACTTGGGTCACTCAATTTCGACTTCCGGTTTTGTCGGTTTCCGTTTTCGAGTTTCGTGCTCCCTTGAGATGAGGGTCCTAAATGTTTTAAAGGTTGTGCGGTGAGACCTTTCAATTCTGTCTTTCCTGTTCCCTTGGCAACAACGTCTGTCACGGCCCCCTTTCTGTTGATGTTCGTTTGATCTTTAGTAACTTTGACAAGCGTTCGTACCCTGGTAATAAAACTTGCCGCATCATTCAAGACTGTCTTTGCTTCATCCACCACCTTCCTGGCATGAGTGATAACTCCTTTCATAGCATTGCTGATATGGGGATTTTTAAGGTCTATGTTTCTCATTCCCGCTATCGGGAGGAGAAGTTTTGAGATGTTGACGACATCCCCACTGTTTTCTTGCGGGTGTGACTTTACCCCTGTAGTTTTCCTCTTTAAAAATTTCCCCGCGATTTCGGAAAGTAAAAGACCGGAGCCTGCAGTTTCTCTATCTGCTCTTGCTTGTCTTTTTACGGATCTACCGCTACTAGAAATGTCTCCGTCGAGTTGATGCTTTTTCTGTCCTGATATCTGGTGCTTTTCAAGTTTCCTCTTGGCAAAATCAGTTCTCTTTGACCCCACCGTAACATCTTCAGGCACCTTAAAACTCGTTTTGTAGCCCGGCCATTGTCCCTTCATGCTAAACTTAGGATGTTTAACATTAACAGTAGCCAAAATAGGACTGTTCATTGCCAGTATCATCTCCGCGTTGTCATTATCTACCAGCCAGTCTTTTGTAGAAGCCGCCTTAACTTTAGATTCAGGCAATTCATAATGGAGATTTGTTCCCATTTGGCTAGCCTCGACGTGAACTTCGTACGACTTCGATCCTCCGCGAAAACCGTTCTTCTGAGCGTCGGTTTCAAGTAGTAGGTTCAACAAACAAACGGCAATAAAGCAAGTGGCCATGAGTTTGGCGTCCATTTTCTGTCCGTGTTCCCGCTGTATACCCTTAAAAATGATCACCTCTGATGGGATCGTACAGTTCTTACGTGTCAACAATAAAATGTATCATATTTCCCAAGTTTGGATTGGCGAAATTGAAAATTCTCATCGTTCGCTCGCATATTGGTTTTTTAACGGAAAGAAACAGTGAACCATGAAGTACAACAAAAAAAGAAAAAGAAGCCCGAGTTCTCATGCATACTTAATAGTGTAACACATGTGGTCTATTACGATTATGAGAAGTTGTCCATCAGTGACGGCAGGTAAAAGAGACACCCGTTTTCGTTGTTGCGTGAGTTGTGTGCCATTTTTTCTTTCCAGAAGATCTTCATTTCTGAATAGAGTATAAAAACACATTTTTCCTTAAATATAACATAAACAAAGAGTAAATCACTCCCGTATGTATAAAAACTAAGCCCTTCGTGGCCGTTATTGATAGTGGCAATCAAGACCTGCTAATAGGCGTGGCAGATGATAATGTCGCTAATGCCTTTAATATATTGTCGTGCTTAATTCAAGACGAAATAATTTTATGACAGTATCGTGGAGTATCACCTGCATTTTGGCGTAAATTTGTTAAGAAAAAAGGACACTTTTTCCGGATGTGCCCAACTGCTAGCCAATCAGTGATAAAATAGAAAAAA